CTCAGGGCCCTGACGCAGGGCTACGTAGGCTGGAGAGTGAAGAAACTCTATCCAGTAGAAGCAGGTTTTTCTGAATTTGTCCGGAGTGTTATGGAGGGAGCTGGTAAGGTCTTCCATAAGGTATATGTCATGTATCCTGTCGAGCCATTGAGGTACGGTGGGGGGGGTTCAGGGTTATGTTTGAGTGCGTTATACTGGGTAACCTGGTTATGAAAAGACTATCAGCACCCCTCCCCCCTCGTTATCTCCCATTGTACTCTGAAGGAGCCCAGGATAATGACATTCTGGCCAGGCTCCTGCTATGGCTGTCTGGAGCTCGTTAGCTGGGGAAGCCCTGTGGTGTTGTGAAGACAGAATGTCGGGGGAGGGCCGGGTGGATGCGATGGGATTATAATCTGATCTCATCACTTGCTGTATAAAAGGTTGCACAGTTGCTCAATAAATCAGAGTTTGTTTCACCCTACACTCGAGTCTCGACCAGTGACTGGGGAAACTGGGAGCTAAAGATCAGCGGGTTGCAATATCTCCTGAGCAAGGAAGAATACATCGGCGGACATACTCATCCTTAGTACTGGGGTCCGTCACAGGTACCACACAATGACATCATGTGAGGAGGAGAGCCATAGATATATAGAGGCTGATGGCTCCTGACTCTTCCACGGGTCACGTCTCTTGGTTGGTAACACACAATGATATCATGTGAGGAGGAGAGCCGGAGTTTAATAGAGGCTGATGGCTCCTGACTCCCCCCACTAGACACATTCCGTCCCCCCATTACTGTCTACTGACAGAGGAGGGGGGAGAAGAAGAGATTGTTGTAGTGACTGAACAAGGAGAATCTGGGACTCATTTCTTACTCACCTACACCTATCTCCATGTCAATATCTTCCTCTTTGCACCGTTGTTCACCCCTCACGTAAAGCTCTTCTTCATCAATTACTTCAACTTTGATGTTAATGAGGTCTACACCCTGGAAATAAAAAATACCAGAGTCTGGATTCTTGTTTGTGAATATCTGTGAATCAGTGAAGTCACATAGTTCAGACCCTCAGCTCCAACCTACCTGACCATGGTCAGGGATCTCATGATGTTCCTGTGTGGAATCCCGGGAATACAGAGGACGGGCCTGAGGAATCTCATGATGTTCCTGTGTGGAATCCCGGGAATACAGAGGACAGGTCTGAGGGTTCTTCTGATGTTCCTGTGTGGAATCCCGGGAATACAGAGGACGGGGACATCTCTCTGGTGGGTTCCTCTTACTGGATCCATCTGTAGGAAACACACACACTGAATGAATACATTGTTTCTATGTGTGTATCAGATGATGGGGGATCTAGGTGGACCCTCCGTACTTCTCTCTCCTCTTACCCGGTGATGTGAGGGGCGGCTGATCCTCCATCAAAGTGTCCTTCTGCTCTTCTAAATGCTTCCACTCCTACATGGAGAAATAGACAGATACATCCTGACACCTTATAGGAACCTGACACACACAATGATACAGTCACCACCCAGACACATCCCTTGTCTGTTCCTGGATCATGTCCCAGAATTCCCGGCACCGCTCACCTCTCCTGTCAGCAGCTCAATCATCTTCTGGATGACCTCCAGGATCTTCTTATCTATGTTTCTTTTGGATATCACCAAGTACGCTGGAGGCTCGGACTCCGGTTTAACATGCTCACCGCGCTCCTTCTTGACCACCGTGTAATCCTGCATTCGGAAACATTGTGCTATCAGCTAAGTGTCAAGTGTTTGATGTAAAGACTGAGGACCAACAGGACGTCATGTGACCCTCCCAGAATCCTCCTCACCTCCCCGGTCAGCAGGTAGATGATCTCCAAGGTGAGGTCTAATATCCTCCCGGTCACGTGACCCCGCACCTTCTCCATTATAATCGCTGCCTTGGTCCTTAAAAAAAGAGAGAGACCGCCACTTCTCCTGCAGGCAGAAAAACATATTATACGTTGGCTCAGTGTTCACTGTACAGCGCTGCGGTATATGTCAGAGCTATATACATGTATAATAATAGTGTGTGACATTAGAGTGTAAGCTCCTCTGTACAGAGACTGATGTGACTGGTTCAGTGTTCTCTGTACAGCACTGCGGTATATGTCAGTGATATATAAAAGTATAGTAATAATACAATTCATTATAATAAACAGGATGATGATATCATTCTCTAAGCTCCGCCCTGCTATGACTGTACACTGTAGGTGCCTTATATCTGGGATTATATTGATCTGAGGCACTACAGGTTTGTAAAATGATTGCCCTTACCTTCTGCCAATAACCTCAATGTCTCCCCTCTCATCAGGCTCCTCCCTTGACCTGGAAAGAATCATAACATGCTTCCTGTTCACCTGACCTGGCCATTTCCTGTTTAGGCCACACCCTTTCCCTCTTAGGTTTAGCACCATATAAGGAAGGTGTGACGTCTTCATGACCACCCACAAAGCAGCTGCAACACTAGGGGAGACTGAGAGCACAGAGCTGTGTACCAGAAGGCGGCCATTTTTTTGGAGCCCATCTTAGCAGCATTTCCAATCCTATTTAAAGGGACATTAAAGTCAAATTTTTCCCCCCTCCCCCCCATGTTAGTGTTAGCACTTACCTTAAATGACGTCTCTTTTTCCGATCTTCTTCTTCTTTCCGGATGTTTTCATCTGTCCCTCCAGCGGTGCGGCGGCTCTCCGATCCAGCGCTGACTGCTCTGTCTCTCCGATCCAGCAGTGTCTGCATGCGGGTGCACGCGTCCATAGACTTACCTTGCGTCCTCTGCTCATCTCACGGCCGAGAATCGGAAAACTGCGCATGCGCCCGCCCCAAGATTCCTGATTCTCGGCGCGGGAGCGCGCAGCGATAACGAGGTAAGTATAGTCAGCAAGCGGTTAAAGGGTTCAGAACCCCTTTAACCGCTTGCTGACCGGGGTGTTAGACCCCCTTCCTGTCCTGGCCATTGTTCAGTATTCAGCGCTGCGGTACTGTGACTGACGTTTATTCCGTCATGCAACGCTGTACCGAAATGAATTTTATACCATTTTTGGGGGACAGATACAAGTTTTTTTTCCATTATCTTAGGAAACAATTATTATCACCCCAATTTTTTGGTAAAATATAAAAGACGGGGTCACGTCGGGTAAATAGGCACCAAACACGTCAAGCTTTAAAATTGCGCGCACCCGCAAAATCGCAAAAAAAAAACTACAATGCCCAAAATTGACCATAGGCGACGCTTTAAAAGCTTTTACCGCTCATCAGTTTAGTGTTATCAGTGATTGATGGCCCAAGACTTATTGCTCCCACTCCGAAGTTCGCGTCCATATGTCACATGTGTGGCGTAATGGGCGCAATCGTCGTTTTTTGCATGCATGCGCACAGGAAGCATTTTTGCACGCGTGTATGTGTAGGTGGGGACTTAAAAAAAAATGTTGTGGGTTTTTTTTACATTCTTTTTCATGTGTAACTTAATTTTTTTTCAACTTTAATCTTTTTTTCACTTAACTTTATTGCTATCACATAGGGGGCTAAGAAACCCCCCTATGTAATAACAAGGAGATGTGACAGGTCCTCTTTATGGAGACATCAGGGGTCTCCAAGACCCCTAATGTCACCTTGGACCCCCCAAAGAAGCTGATGAAGCAGAGATCTGCTTCATCAGCTTCTCTCCAGCGTCTGAAGCTGGAGAGTGACACAAGAATGCGGAAGTGATGTAATATGCATCCCTTCCGCATCCTGACACCGGAGGGAGATTGTGTATTGATCTCCCTCTGATCCCCTGTCAGAGAGCCATCATACTGGTCCCGGGCTCGCATCGGGCACAGCGGAGCTCGGGACCAGCATGACAGTGGGAGGGGATCGGAGGGAGAACGTGTACCGATCTCCATCTGATCCCCTGTCACAGAGCCGCCATGCTGGTCCAGGGCTCGCACAGGGCAGAGCAGAGCTCGGGACCAGTGGGGGGCGGGGGGGGGCACAGATTGGGACATTATACAAGCGATGCACTGGCTCTATAGCCGGCGGATCGCTTGTATGTAAACAGACATTGTTGCCTGTTTAAATTTGGGTAGTTTCCCGCACGCAAGTGGGCGGGGCCAACAGGACGTCTTTTGATGACCTGTTACATCCACGAAGCTCCCGGGCCGGCCGTGCAGTTACAACGGCCGGCCGGGAGGCAGTTACACTATTTATTTATTGTTCAATAAAACGCTTGAATGAATTATTATTATTATACTGGATTTATATAGCGCCAACAGTTTGCGCAGCGCTTCACAAAATGAAAACATAGAATCTGCGGGAGGCGTAGCTGCTAAGGTCGCCATGGCCACCCTCTACATCACAGGAGGTTATGGCGGCGGCTCACCGGCTGAACAGGATCCAGCCATATTGTGCTGCTATGCCCCTAATCAAGTTAAGCTTGTTGTTGCTAGGCAACTGTAACCAGCCTTAGCCCTGTTTCTGGGCTCTGCAGGTCTTCCCCGAGCTCAGCAGGTTGATTGCTCCTGCCTGCTTCCAGTAGTCAGCATGGGTAAGGGCAATATGCATCTGACTCAACCAATCCCTGAGGTCGTTCTTCAGGAGTATGGTTTGGGAGATGATGCATATCTGGGCTAGGGTTGCCACCTGTCCAGGATTCACTCGGACAGTCCGGGTTTGGATTGCTGTGTTCGGGTTTCATGGCAGCTGCAACCCAGACACAAGATGTCAGGCAGACAGGGGCAACCAAAATTAAGATAGGGGCTACTGGCCCCCACTGAAAATAGTCTCTATTGCGATATTTACATATTAATAAGCCGCGACTCATTCTCCTAAAAAAAATGTCTGTGCGTCGCTTGAGTGTTCGGGATTCGCTTGAACAAAAGGTGGCAACCCTACGGTTTACGTTTTTCTGGTCTCTGCAGGTCTTCCCTGAGCTCAGCGGGTTGATTGCTTCTGCCTGGTTCCAGTAGTCAGGGAAGGTCAATATGCATCTGACTCAACCAATCCCTGTGGTCGTTCTTCAGGAGTATGGTTTGGGAGATGATGCATATCTGGCTCACCTTTCCAGCTTCCGCATGGAGAGGATGTACGCCTAGGAGGATCTCTACGTGGGTCTTGCCGCAGTCTGGGGCATGTGCCAAGCACTGAAGGACATAAGCTACCCTGCTGGAGTGGATATAGGGATGGAGCTGGCCTTGATTGAAGAGTGTTGGAGAGGAGCGGAGTGCAACAAAAAAATGTGCACTAGGGTGCCAAAAAGTCCATCGCCCCAAGAGATAGGGGGCGGGTCTACGGGCCTTCCCTGAAGTCTAGGGGGAGGATGTGTGGCCATGTTTCTTCCTTCCCTAACCAAAGGTCTCTCTTCGGAAGAGCCCCCAACCTAGTACTCGGTGGTCAGCTTCAGATCACCATGAGGAATGGGTGCGCCTGCTTTCGGCTAGGTGGATACAAGTGCCTTGCCCCTAGCAGAAGCCTTGCGCCCCGGGACAGGGGTGGGGGGGTTTGGACTCAAAGCACTTCCTCTATGGAATTGGACCGTAGCACCCTCGTACACTTTTAGTGTGTGGTATGACTTCACACTTCATTTTTTTTGGTTCATGGGGTTCAAAGGCTGTACCGTGGCGATGGGTGAAAGTATAAAAAGCGCACGGACTTGGATTGAAAAATGTCTTTATTAACAAGTATACAAATAACCAAAATCCATAAAAATCATTAAAATTAACATTTTAGCTGAAGAGTCAAAGCCTAGAGAGCGTCTGTCAACTGATGCGACCCTGTCAACTGATGCGACCCTGTCAACTGATGCGACCCTGTCAACTGATGCGACCCTGTCAACTGATGCGACCCTGTCAACTGATGCGACCCTGTCAACTGATGCGACCCTGTCAACTGATGCGACCCTGTCAACTGATGCGACCCTGTCAACTGATGCGACCCTGTCAACTGATGCGACCCTGTCAACTGATGCGACCCTGTCAACTGATGCGACCCTGTCAACTGATGCGACCCTGTCAACTGATGCGACCCTGTCAACTGATGCGACCCTGTCAACTGATGCGACCCTGTCAACTGATGCGACCCTGTCAACTGATGCGACCCTGTCAACTGATGCGACCCTGTCAACTGATGCGACCCTGTCAACTGATGCGACCCTGTCAACTGATGCGACCCTGTCAACTGATGCGACCCTGTCAACTGATGCGACCCTGTCAACTGATGCGACCCTGTCAACTGATGCAACCCTGTCAACTGATGCAACCCTGACAACTGATGCAACCCTGACAACTGCCTGATCCCTCACATGGTTCCCTAGATTTTACCTGTACAGGGTCAAATAGTTGACAGCTGTCACACTTGAGGTCACCTCTGATCTTGACTCCCAAGAGTCAGACTCTTAGTACACATGGATAAGGGGGTGAAAAATATTCTTTTCTTATACACTCCTGACCATGGATGATAAATCGAGAATGAATATAAAGCCCTGGTGCCCAACCTGTAACCCGGGGCCACATGTGGCCTTTTGGAACTTCCTGTATGGCCTTTGGGGCCTCCTTACTCAGTCCAGTGAAGGCCCTTTTCTCTGATCATTTATGATGGATCTTGCCGAGGGAAATATCAAGTGTGGCACATGTACATTTTTAGGGGGGGCGGTAGGGAGCACAAATGTGGGAACATTGTAAAAGGGCTTCAATGGCCGTGATCTCTAGCAACCTTATAGAATGTGTTTCCTGAAGCATGTCCATAGTCTTTGACCATCTCCTAATGTACGTCTGCAGCCTCTGACCATCTCTAGTAGCATGTCCATAGTCTTTGACCATCTCCTAATGTATGTCTGCAGTCTCTGACCATCTATAGTAGCATGCCCATAGTCTTTGACCATCTCCTATGTACGTCTGCAGTCTCTGACCATCTCTACTAGCATGCCCATAGTCTTTGACCATTTCCTATTGTACGTCAGCAGTCTCTGACCATCGTTAGTATCTACTGAATATTATGTACGGCCCTTTGATAATGTCAAGATCCACACTTGAAGCCCCCTGTATGTAGAACGTTGACCACCACTGGTATAAAGCGAGTTTCTCTCTATATTAGGGATCAGGTCCCTCCAGGCTCTTGACCTATGAACATAACGAAGTTCAGTATCTTTCTAAATGATGTCTTGGTTCTTCCCCATGTTGATGCTTTTACCACGGCCCTCTCTGTGCCACTGGTGAAGCTCCTTGACGTCTGCTGAGTTGCGCATATTTCTATCCCTCCAGGTGAAGCTTCTGGTGCTGCCCTAGATGTCCTTTCTGTGTAAACCTCTTCCCACACGCTGAGCAGCAAAATGGGTTTCCTTTCCCCCCGGTTTTTCCCCCTGTTGATGCTTTTACCACAGCCCTCTCTGTGTCATTGGTGAAGTTCCCTGACATCTGCAGAGTTGCACATATTACTATCCCTCCAGGTGAACCTTCTGGTGTTTACCCAGATGTCCTTTCTGTGTAAACCTCTTCCCACACTCTGAGCAGCCAAACGGTTTTTCCCCCGTGTGAATCCGTTGGTGCGCAAGCAGCGCCGCCTTTTGCACAAATCCCTTCCCGCAGTCGTTGCAGGAAAATGGCCGCTCCCCGCTGTGGATCCTTTGATGGGTTTCCAGCATCGACCTGAAGCTGAACTCCTTCCCGCAGTCTGCGCAGCGGAAGGGCTTCTTTCCTGCGTGACTCTTCTGATGCTTGGCAAGAGCCTCGGGGTCCCTGAAACATTTCACGCAGTCCGAGCACCAAGAAGACCTTTTGCCTGAATGGATCTTTTGATGCCTGGCGAGGCCTGAAGAATTGTGGAAACCTTTCCTGCACTGGCCACACTGAAAGGGCTTCTGAGTGTTGTGTACTTTCTGGTGATTGACCAGTCCGACCTTCTGTGCAAAGCACTTCCCGCACTCTGGGCAGGCAAACGGACGCTCGCCCGTGTGGGTCCTCTGGTGTATAATAAGATTCACCTTCTGCGCAAAACTTTTCCAGCAGTCGGAGCAGGTGAAAGGCTTCTCTCCCGTGTGGACTCGGAGATGCACAATGAGTGTGGACCTATGGTCGAAATGCTTGCCACATTCGGTGCAGGAGAACGGCTTTCCTCTCTCAAGGACTTGCTGATGTTTTGTCAAAGATAATGTATCCGTATATCGCTGCCCGCCTCTAGAACGCAAATACGGCCCCTCATTTTGGTTGTTTGCGAGACCTGTTTTGCGGGGGAAGGGTTTTCTGCGTCCTGTTTTTTTATGCATTTTCTGGTGCGCAATCAAAACCGACTGGCTTCTAAAACTTTTTCCGCACTGGAAGCACTCATAGGGCTTTTCTCCCGTGTGAGTTCGCTGGTGGTTGTCAAGAATGATTTTCTGTGTGAAGCCTTTCCCACAAACTAGACAGGAGAAGGGGCGTTCCCCTGTGTGGATCCTCTGGTGGGTAGCCAGGAGTGATCTAAAGCCAAAACATTTCCCGCACACGGTGCACTGAAATGGCTTCTTGGTGGAGTGAACCTTTTGGTGGTGGTCAAGCTCCGCCTTCTGAGGAAAACACGTCCCACATTCATAACTAGGGAATTTTTCACCATCACCAGGTCGAAGGCTAGGCTGTGTAGGAGTATCAGAAAGAGGTTCCTCAAGATTAGTGCCATCTTGGGATCTATTCATCCAATCAAGTCCTTGATGGGTATTGGGAGTATCAGGATTTGCATCCGGAGAACCTCTTGAGATGTTCTCATCTTCTTCATCGAAGTCCAAAGATGAAATGAGATGTCCATCTTCTGCGGAAAAAAGCACAGGAGCCAGTGAGTAAAGCTGAAATGTAACCTTTCCCGAGCAGAACCAGTTAGATAATGTCCCTGGTTCAAGCACTCCACCACCAAATTGGCCAGGTAACCCCGAAGACATTGGACCAGAGGAACTATTGTTGGTTCCCCAGATATTTGGAGACCTGCTTTTTGAGATGTGCCAAATTATAGTTCAATTAGAAGGGTTTATTCACGTACCTGGTGGGAGGCCGGTAGGACGAGGAGGCTTCTCTTGCATCTCGTGTCCTGCACCCCCTGGAAGTGGGAACAGGGCGTGCAGAGGACAACAAGGAGCACGAGTGCCAGTAGATGGCCCGGACACCGTGCAGTAGAAGTTCAGACGAAGCCAGAGGTCAAGCCGGGCGGGAAGCGTAGTACAAACCAATAGGCAAGGCAGTGTCCGGTAATGAGGCCGGGGTCAGGAGGCAGGCAGCAAGCAAGAGGAGTCAAGGCAATCCGGGTCAAAAAGGAGCAACAGGCAATCCGACAGAGTAACAGGTCACAGGCAGGGGCGTATCTGCCGCAAAGCAAACAAGACATTTGCCTTGGGCGGCAGTTTTTAGGGGGTGGCAAAAATGCCACCCCTAAAACAGTTAGTCAGCCGGGGAGGAGTCAAAACACGGAGGTGGCAGAGTAAGCGGCGATGCAGGAGGCGGAAGAGGCAGAGGAGTCGGAGCAGCAGGAGGGGACGAGGTGGAGCAGCGGCAGGAGGCGGGGCGATGTTGGATCAGGAAGGGGCAGGGCCAGGGCGCCGTCATGGAGTAGGAAGCTGGGTCACCGAAGATCCGTCGGGCTGCGGAGGAGGCCAGGTCCTGCAGCACCTGTCCAACGGTGGAGGAGGCCAGGGACCACGCAGCAGGTAAGAAGCTCACACTGCTGCTAAAGAGACCCTGCAGAGCCCAGTATGGATTCTGCACAGCCCGTCTGAGAGTCTCGGGGGGGGTGGGGGGATGGGGGGGCTGTCCAGGATCTGTGGTGAGGTCTATGTTGGAGCCAACCACACATCCCTGCACCGGTCTGCAGGGTCTCGGGGGCTTTGCATCATCTGTGGTGGGCTCTATGAGATCCTGCAGATTTAGTGTGTGTGGGGGGGTGACCTAGTTGCGTCTTGCCTAGGGCAGCCCCAAACCAGAATACACCACTGGTCACAGGAAGTACAAGCTGAAGACCATTGGCAACGTGGTCAGGGCAAGCTCAATTATATAGACCAGTCTATTAAAGTGACAGCATCACTTTCTGTGCGCGCACTTCCTGTTGCGCGCACCTGCTAACTACAGCATGTTTCCCAGCTACACGAAACATAGGCCTGTAACTTTACCTTACAGGTTTGAAAAGAAAGATGGGACTAGTGCACCAATTCCTCTACAACCTCCAACGTTAGCTAATCTGGTCCATTGTGTCTGATAAGAAGGCCGCCCAGTCCTACAATTGCCTTCAGTCTATTGTTGACCATCTCACACATTCTAAAAGTCTCGCCATCCTTACTTTGAAGACCTCTGTCTATGACGGTGGTGAAATGATTTCTCCTCCACCGGCTAAGTCTAGGGAGATGAAACCCTTGTCTGTTCCTGGATCATGTCCCAGAATACCCGGCACCGCTCACCTCTCCCGTCAGCAGACCAATGATCTTCTGGGTGACTTCTAGGATCTTCTTGCTGCTGTTTCCTTCAGGTGTCAGGGACGAGGGTGGAGGCTCCATGAAGGGGCCCTGGTTTCTGCTCTCCTTCAAAGGTCCATAATGCTGTGGAATGCAAAGACACACACAGTAATGAATATAATGGAGTTACGCGGATCACTGCTCCCTAAAACTCCCCTTCCTCCAGTTAGGTTAGGTCTATATTGCTATAGATAAGAGTGATGCCATGTGACCTCCCAGAATCCTCCTCACCTCTCCGGTCAGCAGGTAGATGATCTCCAGGGCGAGGCTTAATATTCGTTCCGACGCGTGAGTCCGGTCCTGGTGCATCCTAGGATCTGCTATGGGGAGGCCCCTGGAGACCAAAAAAAGCAAAAACAGGTAATGTACATGCTATCTGTACTGTACATGCTAGATGCTATCTAATTAGTGGCGAGGAATTCAGTCTGCACACTTCCTGAAATAAGAAATCAGGCTCTAAGTGATCCTGCGAAAGATGAGCAGTTGGCCAATCTAAAGCCGATAGCCACGATTGAGCTCAGAAGATAATGGACCATCCATCCAAGGGCGCCTCAAACACTACGAATCACCTCAATTCAGCCCCCACCCTCCCCCCATGGCCCGTACACCTGGACAAGGCGGCGACCCAATGTACAGAACCTTGGCGGTTTAGCTGGCTCAGAAAATTCCCAGCCAGCAGCTAATCAGAAAACAGGCTCCAAGGATGCAACATCAGTAAACTGACAATTTGGTTGCTATGGGTTACCGCATTTTGCGCATCACGAACTGCGCCATTGAAGGAGGTTGTGTTCAGTATTTACCTGTAAAGAGAACAAAAAGGTAAAGAAAAAACAAGGAGAGGCTACCAGGGGTTTCCTGCTGCCTGTAACATCAATGGCTGCCTTGGTTTCCTTGCCTTGACCTCTGACCCGGAAGTTCCTTTTCATGCCTTCCACATGACGTCCTGCCTGTCCTTTCTACATCACCCAATCACACAGATCTATACGGATCATTCTCACACGAGTGGGTGCTGATCCGGCTTGGAGTGTCCGCAGTCCTCCAGGCAACACCGAAAGGTAAAGTAGGGGGCTGAGAGGTAATGACCAACATGTCCTCAGGGCAGCCATTTTGTCGTAGTCCAGATCTGCTGTAGGATGAAAACAAGACTTGTTTCCTCACGCTCTCCTCTTGATCCATAGAGATCACTGAATAGATGAAAGGAAGAGCTCCCGTGTGACCCAAGGCTTCTGGAACCCCACCGTGTTTGCCGGCAGGACTACAACTCATAGCATTTCCTGCTGTGTCGGTGGTACTACAACTCCCAGTCTGCTGTAAGAGGTAAAAAAATGCTAAATATGTATTATTATTGAT